ATGTCACGTAGTGCTAAGGCCAAGCCTAGCAGGGGCTGGAGATGATTCCTTTGTCCCATTATAAAATTGAACCGCTATAGGATTGTGTGTATCACTCTTCAGAAAACCAGCTAGAAGAGAAGGGTTCAATTCACTTAAGATTGTGTGTGGGGATTAGAAATGGAGCTAGAAAAATTCAAGAGAAATAGCTTTGTGTAGGAATGAACAGAGGAAGGCCTAGAGGAGGTGTCAGGGTTTTGCTCAGATTTTGAAGTGCAGGAAGGAATATGCTAGAGGGGAAGGAATATTAAAGAAAGGAATGTCCAAGGAGACAGAACTAGATGCCAGGAGAGATTAGGTTTACCAAGAGACCCAGTAAACCAGTTTGGTTGAGCAGGAGGGCTACTGTAAGGCTGTAACGGAAGGAGAATGTTGAAAGGGTCATCTGATAAAGATGAGATAAAACACGAATGCCTTCGCTTTGAATTCTAAACCATATCTTCCAGGCAGTGAGGATTTGTTAAAGTTTATTGTGTCCATAGAGTGATTTATGACTATTGTTTTGGCAAAGAAAGCCAACCTGCAGAGAGCCATAGGAGGGGAGAGAAAAGGCTGAGAGGCAACGGAAGCTCCAACGTATTTTGTTTGAGAGAGGCAAGACTTAAGGGGAGGGGTCAGATGAATGGTGAGAGAAATGGTGGGTGAAGGCAGTCATAATGTTTCATGTACATATATGACAGTGGAACAAGGTAATTTGAAGAGATGGGTCCGGTTGGGGCAGATGATGAGGGAGAATGATAGAAAGGGTGACACTGCTCAAGATTCATTGTAGGTATACATTGACAGGCTGAATTGAAACCTCTTTGTACAACTACTTAAAGATAATAATAATCAAGAAAAAACATAAAAATATAGGCACTCTTCTGTGTTCCAGGAGTTTTCCCACAATAGACTTTTATTCTCAATTATAAATATTTACACATTTATCTCACCACAATCCTTCTTCCTTTCCTCCCTCCCTCCCCCCTCCTTCCTTCCTATGCCAATTAAACAAATACTTTTTGAATATGTACTATTATATACTGGATATTGAACAAGGCATTGAAGATTGAGGGAAGAGAATTCTATTCTTCCAGGAACAGCAAAAAAAAAAGGTAAATAAGAGGGTTTCAACAACAAACAAAGTAGAAATGTGTGCCAGGTTTCAGAGGTGAGTTCTCTTGATTATTTTTTATCAGGGGAGGTAATGCTTGGCTCCTACAGGGAACTCTAAGAAGGAAGTCATCAGAGGAGCAGGTAGAGGAGGATGTAGAGGAGGCCTCATCCTCAGAAGCTGTTGGTACTTTAGGGGAAGTATGTTACTACATATGCACAGAAATGAACATGGAAGTATTTGCTGGGTCTTGTATTTAATGCTTGAGCAGTTAGGTTTTACATCCATTATATTAGAAGAATTTTGCATAACATTTGGGATTAATTTTTTTAGAAATATTGAGGTTTGAGTTCAGCCTTGCATTTGCTAAGATGCTCAATCACTTAATCCATCGCTTCAGCTTTTTGTATTTTTTTTGCTTCAGTTATCCTTCACATTTCCCCCCCCCCCAAGTCATTTTGGGATTATAATCCTCTTGCTTATACCTCTTCTGTAGCTGAGATTACAGCAACAAGCCATCATTGCCCAACAGATGGAGATCTCATTAACTTTTTTTTTCAGGTCTTTTTTTTTTATTGTGAAAATACTGTACAGAGGGGTTACAATTACATGGGCAAGATAATGAGTACATTTCTTATCAAGCATTGTTACCTCTCCTTTTGTTTCCCCTTCCCACCCTTCCCATCTCCCATCCACCCTCCCCCCCTTAGGTGAAATGAACCCCAAGATAAGTATTCAAATGTTTTTTCTTTCATGCGATTGTTTCTAACATATTTATAAGATTATTTCTTTGTTGCTTTGTATGTCCCTCTCCCATGGTATAACCCCTGCTTTCACTGTATTTGATGTTGGTATAATTTGTGGACGGGAAGGGAAAAAACAGATCGTTTAAATAGGGATACAGGTGGGCCCATTGCAACAATGAAATGTACAACTCATTAACTTTTTACCAAGCTTTCCTCAAACCATTATCCTTCTGATCTCTGCTTCCTAACAAAGTGGGATTACTGATCGCATGTATGAGCCACTGTACCTAGCACCATTCAAAAATAATTAGTGTCAATTAGTTGTACTGGAGGGTTAATTGTTCAAAGGTGTTTCATGATAATACCTTACACATGCATATACATTTTTTAAGAGTCTAACCACGATGACAACAATAACAACAATGTCCCCCCCCTCCTCAAACTGAAGATTTATAGTATTGGGCTCTGCAAGTCATGCAAGTCATGGTTTCTCCTCTGGGTGGCTATATGGTCTCGGACAAGTTACCTAATCTCTTTAAGCCTCTGTTTTGGTTTAAAAAAAAAAGGAAGGAAGGAAGGAAGGAAAGAAAGGAATGGTGGGAGTGAAGACTCAACTACCTTCTTCATAGGCATTGTTCTTTTTTTTGTAAGAATTGATGGTGTACCACTTGCAATGCTCTTAGAATGGTGCATAGTGCATAGAAACTTCTCAGAAAGCAATTGCTCTCCTTACATGGGCTCACCTCAGCCATCATGGTTATCATGCAAACAGTTCAGTAAGCTATGACAAACACCACTCACTATGGTATGAGTTAGAGATAAGAACAAGCTGGAAAAGAGATATTATTAGTTAAGAGACGAGAGCCCTGTAAAAATCTGAGAAAGGATCTTTTTCTTTTTCTGGTCACTACCCAGCTGTCATTCAGACAGATTTAAACCAAAAAGTTTGTGGGATAAATGAAAAGGAAGACTGAGCAGACTTTAGTGACTGATTAGCTGCAAAAATCAGGGAGTGAATAAAAGATGCTTGAAAGGCTTCACGCCTGAGTGACTAGAGAATTCTGGCACTGTGGCATGAGGAAAGTCATTCACACTCTTGGTTCTGTGTCTCAGGCCAGTGCTCTCCTGACATCCTTGGATGGTTAGCCAACTTTTCAATTTTATTCACTTGCTCAGTGACTGGGCAGTGTAGCCAGCTGCTTTGTCATAAGCACAGCGAAGGCATGTGGAATCTTGGAGATCTCGGCATCTCATACCCTACTTACAAGTTGTATTTGAATCTCACTCTTATGGCTCCCAAGTCTTCTTTCATTTCTAGCTCATGTTGAAATCTCAGGAAAGACCTCAGCATCTACAGCTCTGTTGAAGAATATTAACATAATGGTATATGCTTATAATTCTTGTTGTGTTTGAAACAAAATATTCCATATAGTTTGTCACTGTTATGTACTTATTTTTTCTTCTCCTGTCTAAAATATGGAATTGTATCTACATTCACTTTGAGGATCCATGATATTCAAAATCAACAACAGGGCTGGGATGTAGCTCAGTGGCAAAGCCCTTCCCTAGCAACTGAAATGTCCTAGGTTCAATCCTCAATACCAAAAAAGAAAAAAACAAAACAAAACAAAAATCAACAACTATGTAGAAACCTGGTTCAGTTTTAGGCTTTTGTATTTTTGCTTTTTGTTACTTATACTCTGATTGATTCTGGAAATAATTCGAGAAACCATGGAGCATGATACAGGATCTTGTTTTAACCAAATGATCCATCCATTGGTGCCTAGCTAGAACAAAGAAATAATAGCAGGTGGAGCTAAGGCCATAGTTTGCTACTTTCCTTCCTCCCTCCCTCTCTCACTCCCTTCTTCTCTCCTTTCTTCCCAACCTCTCAATCTCTCTTTCTGCCTTCTTTCCTCTTCCTTCTCCTTCCTCCCTCTTCCTTTTCCCTTGAATCTGATTATTTTAATTACTGAAAATACTCTACAATTGGACAAAGTACAGGAGGATTAAGATTGTCTTAAAACCAGGCTCAAGGTTCGGGCAACACTTACTAACAAAGTTGGTTTTTAAGAGAGCATTTATTTGTGTAATCCTGGGGATTGAACCTAGTGCCTCATGACTGTTACGTATAGCCTGATCAGAGTTACAATTCTAGTCCCTAAGAGAGAATTTTTTTTAATGAATGCTTTGTTGGAAAATAAGTGGCATGTCACGAACAATTTTGCAGTGCTCTCTGGTAGAATAAATAGCAGTATGCTGAACTGTCTAAACTTCTTGTCCAGTAGCTCTTAAGATCCAGGGAACAGCTGAAGATTGCCTTGAGGAAGTAGTGCAAAACCCACTGTCAGCTTCAGAATGGCTGTCCAGACTTGAGCCTCATTCATTCCCCATCTCCTGCAATCAACCAAGACAGTAAGAATTATGTAGACCTGGGTGTTCATGTTCAACCAAAAGAATCTTCACAGTGAGAGTTGCCTTCTTATTTCTCTATTGGCCACCTACTCCCGCTCTGTGTGTGTGTGTGTTTCAAAAATAGTTCATGAAAGATTGGAAATTAAATGTCTCTGTGGGAAAAGGCAGCACTGCAGGTTCTCAGCATTTTATTCAGCTGCTCTCTTACTTTTCCAGACCATGAATATACTCTGAGGCTATTAAAATCTATTTCTGGTGATTGGGGAAAAAATGGACTTAATGTTTCCTTTCCCCCTCCCTTCCAATTGCCCTGTGTCTGGCAACAATACCTCAACACACTAATTTTTCTTTTTTTAAAATTTCTTTTTGTGGTGGCAAAACAATCCCACTCCTATTTGTGGAGAGAGAGAGGAAAAAAAGAATCTCTGTCCTAAGTTTTATGTTGGGAACATAAAACAAGACAAAAAGCTACCTGGGTTAGCCTGTTTCTCCAGAGTGAAAGAAAGCAGTGTACATTTTGGCGGCTGCTTTAAGAGTCTGGCTCCCTGGTAAGGGGGCTGGTCTATTATGGGTGTGAGAGAAAGGAGGGGTCGAAGAGGGAGTCCGGTTTAGATTCTGGACTGAAGGCAACCAGGAAGTAAGGAAGAATGATTACAGTCTGTACATAGCTCAGGATGTTAAAGGCAGCAGCCGTACCTGGTTGGTTATTCATTAGCGAGAAGGCAAGGACAGTTGGGATCAGGACTGGTGAAACCACAGAAACAGATTTGAAGTTGGGTGAGAGTGACTGGCCTGGGCCAAGCTGGGAGATTTTTTTTACCTAGAGGAAATACCTCTCTTGCTAACTTTTTCTTAGGACGGAGGGAAAGGTGACTGCTTTCTATTCTCCTGTGTGCGTCTAAATAGAGCTCTCTTAATTGTATTTCATTCGTTGTTGTTGTTGTGGGATTGTGAAGCAGGCAGGAAGAAGAGCAGCTGCCCCTAGTCCCGACTGGCTTTTGCCCTGGGGCTGGAACTGAGGGCCAGAACGCCAGAAAGCCAGGTGCTGAGTCTCTCCAGGCGAGAACAGAATTCAGACTCTTATGAAACCGGACTCTTCACACTCTCCAAAGTATGGTGAGCTGGTGCTGATCCAGTGAATCTGCAGACGCCCAGAGCAAGAAGCCCCTTTCTCCCTCCTCCCACTGGGGCGCCATGGGCAACATCTGTTTGAGGCTCTGGGCATACCTGCAGCCCTGTCTCCCTTGCTTGTCCCAAGAGGCTGACAAGTCGGTGGTGATTGCGAACCCAGTGGCCCACTATCCCCCTGAAGCCCCCGTGTCACAGAAACAGACTCCAGAGAGAAGCCATGGCCACTACTTTGTGGCTCTGTTTGATTACCATGCCCGAACGGCAGAGGACCTAAGTTTCCACGCAGGCGACAAACTCCAAGTCCTGGACACTTCTCATGAGGGCTGGTGGTTGGCCAGACACTTGGAGAAAAGGGGAGATGGCTTTGGCCAGCAACTGCAGGGCTACATTCCTTCTAACTACGTGGCTGAGGACAGGAGCCTCCAAGCAGAGCCGTGAGTAGTACAAACCCACACTTGATTTCTTAACTCTTCGAGGGCCTGGTGAAGTTCTCCTTTCTATCCACTTACAGCTTCCTTATCTGCAGATTTGCCTAGAAAACTATGTGTAGGTACTCAGAAGACTCACGGATGAAAGCATATCTTGCCCCAGAGAGAGTGAACCTGGCAGCTAATGGTTGTTGAAATCATTTCCATTACAGTCTGCACACCCTCCGGGGGCACTTTCTTCAACATTACCAAGGGGTGCACTTAATAATACTCTACTTCTCCTTTTTATGGAACACAGTGCTGGCCTCACCTTCAAAAGTGAACTGCATAGGACTCTTCTGTATATTCGAATCTAAAATCCAGTGCTTTCTGTGTGATTTAACTTTAGAAGCATTTTGGAGTAATAACTCAAACCCGAACACCAATCTCAATACTTTTTATTACATAGCTTAACCTTACTAACCTAACCTACCAACAAGACAGATAATATCTCAACAAGACTAGGTTTTCTGGTGAAATCATGACAGAAACATTTCTCTTAGAGTCTCCCATTCTAAGATATGCTACTCTGAGAGGGTTATCTCTTGGTGGTCCCAACTAAAAACTGGCCAGGTGGAGAGGCAGTAAAATTTTTTTTTTTTGGGTCCGGTCGTGGGGCCTGAACTCTGGGCCTGGGCGCTGTCCCTCAGCTCTTCAGCTCAAGGCTAGCGCTCTACCACTTGAGCCACAGCGCCACTTCCGGCTTTTTTCTTTTTGCTTATGTGGTGCTGAGGAATCGAACCCAGGGCCT